TAATTGGATCTTCAAAATGGTCAACTTAGCGCATATCATAAAGATTGATGGTCACCCAAACCTGGTTGGGTCCTGACTCAAATTCCAGTTTGCACAATATTACCTCTTAAGATGGTAGCAATAATCAATCAAATATCATTTTGCCACACTATATGTCCACTTCCAGTACAGTGATTAGTCTCAAAACCTACTGCGCCACTTGAAACACATTCTGTATCATGCCGTTTATGAGAAATATTGAAAGTTAAGGGGAACATCTGGCTGAAAATACTATAAAAATCGGAAAATTACGAAAATATTCAGAAAAATTGTTTAGGAAAGCTGTTGCCTATGGCTATCTGCTGACGTATTTTGATTGCATAATTTGTAATATTATGTAGCCATGCAGGATTGTTCTAACCCCCCCTCATTTAGAGGGACCTTCTGTTTATGTAACAAAAGCTGTAATATTTTGGTGCAAAGTAATACCAATCACTTGGTAAATATCAGTATTTGGCACCTTTCTCAGCTCGCTAGCAGCAGGACCAGAGTACGAGGCTGCTTGTGTCACAGTTACCCATAAAAGAAGCCAAGGTGAGGTTCGACCGGGTGTTTCTCTCGTGCCACCCTTCTCGGGCCTGTATCTCAAAAAGAGTTCTTCTAACCTTGAAATCCCTGAGGCTTGGCCATTTATGGGTCAATTTTAATAAAACTAAAACTTAGTAGTAGAATAACATACAGTATTGTGCATGGCTAAACATATAGATATACTTTATATTTGGCTTGGTTTATTATTTGCTGATTTATCTTTATAAATATTAGGAGGATAAAATGGTAAGTTAGGAAAAACTTCATGCACCCAAAACAAATGTGATAATCAGAAATATCTATATGTCACATTCAAAGGGAGTAAATTACCTATATTCCAGATGAATTTCAATGTAATCTAGCTAGAAGTTATGGAGAAGTAGGATTTTGAAAATTGATAAGTATATAAAGGAAAAATCGGTATCAGGGATTAGGCAGAATTGATTCAGGGGTATAGCAACAATGTTTCTGGTGTCCTTAATTGCTGAAAGGAAATTTATATTGATTATCAATTATTAACAAATTTTGTGCTTCAGCCAGACACTCCCCTTAACAGGATTTGTTGATCCACAAAGAATGATCACACTTAACATTAAGTTCATCAGTTTAAATTTTGTGATGCATAAAATAGGAAACATCACCAATGAAATAAGAATATTGTACATACCAGCCCTTTGTTTTATAATTTTAAATATTGACCTTAAATGAAGCAGAAGCCATGAAAAAAAATATTAAATTAATTCATATATAATTTTTTTTCAATACTCTTTAATCTCACAGATGGCATTTTTTATTTTTCTAAAATTCTAAAGCTAAAAGTGTACTGTACAGAGGGTCCCTGACTTACGAATGTCCGACTTACAAACACCAGCCGATATGAACGAGGCCCCATAAGGTCAATTATTTTAAGAATCCAACTTAAGTACAACCGGTTCATAGCATTTACATACGAGAACTAGTTTGCATGGGTTAGAGGCGAGGCACGGTGGGGAGTGATTTATCGCCCAGCCATGCGCCTTGAGGGAGTGTCGGTACGCTTTACCCTCACCGCATTAATGTGTATAATCCAGTGCAAATTTTTTTTTGCTTATTTACTTTCTTTTTCTGCCCTCATCATGGCTCCTAAACACAAACCTGATGCAAGTGATAGTAGTGCATCCAAGAAAAGGAAAACAAATACAATGGAAGTGAAAGTTTATGTAATTAAATGTTCTGAAAAAGATGAAACACTCTAAGTCATTGGTAGTGTTGGGCTTCATTCAGTCAACAGTCAGAACAATTTTGAAAGACAAAGAGAAAATTCTTGAATATGTAAAATGATCTACACCAATGTGCTCAAATGTGATAACAAAACAAAGAAGTGGATTGTTAATTGAAATGGAAAGGTTGTTAGTGATATGGGTGGAAGATCAAAATCAACAGGATTTGCCCAAGTCTTGCACTGATTCGGGAAAAAGTGAGAAGCTTGCACGCTGACTTGAAGTCTAAAAATATTGGTGAAAGTGATGGGGAAGACTTTGTTGCTAGTAGGGGCTGGTTTAATCAGTTCAAGGTAAGTGCAAATGGTGTTTGGAAAAACACTGCCCACAGTTTGTTTATGATTTCAGGGGCTTTGATAATGATATTGGGGAAGTGACACAGACAGTGGTAGACCTTGGGAACCAACTCCAGCTTGATATTCATGAGGATGATGTCACACAGTTGTTTGAGTCTCATGCTGAAGAATTAAGCAATGAGGACCTGATTGAACTGGAGAAGCAATTTTGTCTTCGGTTGTAGAGGAAGCTGAAACTCCAGAACCAAAGGGATTCATTACAAGAGAAATGGCAGATGGATTCAGGCTTATTGAAGAGGAATTGCTATCATTTGAAAAGCAAGATTCACCAAGATTCATAGAGGTATTAATGAATATCTATGATGCTACAGAGAGATTTATGATGAAAAGAAGAAAGTTTCAGTTCAACCATCCCAATAAACCTTTATCACTCCTGCAAATGCCCATCTCTACATTCAAGCCAGTGCCAGGTTCCAGTGTAAGTGTTAAACTTTAAATTTAGTTTTGTTTACTCTATTTTGTCATTCAATTTCTTCTTTTCTCTTAAATTAAGTGATTCGAGATGTATAAAACGGACTTGGGCTATGATATAGTGCACATAGGGTATGTGTTCTGACTTATGTACATTTCTAACATAAAAACGTTCTCAGGAGGGGAACTAGTTCATAACCCGCACTTTTGACTCCCAAAACATATTTAACATTCATTTTAAACAATTAATACTGTATAATAAAATATATTATACATCATGTTATAACAGCAAACACAAATCCTTGCAATTTCTGGCTAACTGGAGTGAAGGCCAATCCAAAAACATAAAATTCACAAACTAGAAATTATACCCCTTAGTAAGTGAAGCAACATTAATCTCATGCCCTCCCCATACACAAATATCCAACCATTGCCTTGTTCTTTAAAGTATCTATTTTAAGGCAAGATAATGATATAAAATTAATTTAAAATAATAGAATCAACTACTGTACAGTTCTAACAATGGCTTTTGCCAAAAGGCTTGGACATGCCTCCAGCTGCCAATGCATTCAAATGATCCACATCACACACAGGAATACCATCACCCATCTTTTGCTGGAACCACTTTAACACTGCACTTACCAGCTCTAAAGGCTTCCTTGAAGGTACATACTTTCCTGAAGAAGCTGTCCTTTCTTACTTAACTTTAAAAGTTTCCCAGCTTCATTTAGTCCTTAATAATGTTGTACTGTACAGTAGTAAGTACCCTTCTACACTCACTCTTGCCTAAGTTATTCCACTCTAAGCTGCCTCTATTGTTTACAGCTTTTTTAATATGTTGAGGAGCTTCTCGTTAAAACTAAATAAAGAACCACAACCAGAAGTCATTACTGGACTCGATCATTCAAAGGGATCAAAAAACCAGGAATATAGAGTGGATAGTATAAAACGTGGTAAAGCAAATGACATAATGACAACGCAGGAGTGATGTGTTAATGAAACAAGCTCAAGTGAGAAGTCACAAAATGGGGTCACAATAATTTTGTTCCTGACATTTGACACAATGTATATACAGTAATGCTTTTTCCAAACAAAAATTATTAGTCTAAAAACCCTAAAGTGTTCAAAATAAACCAAATAAAATGATGAAGCCCAAAACTGTGAGAGTTTACTATACGTAAAAGAAATTGATGGTATGTAAAACTGAGTTTATAAAGATTATAAATGCAAATTATGAATAAATGTTTTCAAAAGTTTTAATTTCATGGCTTCAAACTCCCTCAAGAACAATAGAAAAATCACACAAACAAATCAAGAACGGTGCGAGGCAATTGTTCACAAGTAAGCTCCTGAGGTTGACTAGATGTATCATCCCACATGTCCTCCAACTCATCACACTCAGAGGCTGAGCCTAATGGGGCTTGATTACGACCCCCTGGGTCATAATACAGAGCATTATCGACATTATGATTACTGGATGGACTCTGGTTACTGCTAAGTTTTGTGAGACCTCCTGCCCGAAAACCTCTTTCTAACAATAGTGCTGCCTTATTAGCATGTATTGGTTGACTTGAGGGAGTATCATATTCCCCAAAGTCATCATCTATTTGAACAGTAGACCCACGAGGATTTTTTTTGGGAGGCAAACAGGGAGGTACATCTTCTAATTTAGTGTTGCTATCATCACTGGTTGTAAGTGATGAAGACGCTGCTGCAGCAACAGCTTTAGCCTGACCCATTACGAACTCTAAGTTTGAATAACAAGATGCATATGAAGCATCTCCATATACAGCATCAGGTGGGAGGGGGTTGTTGTTTGAAGAATCTGGTAACCCTGTAATGTCTTCATATACTGCAAATCCATCACCAACTGCAGAGAGCAAATCATTAACACTGCCTTGGCTCAGAACATCATCAAGCATATCAGAATCAGAATAAACACTTGCATCATCTGACCAAAATGGTGATGGACGAAGATGCCCGGCAGGCTTGGGTGACATTCCCCCAGCTTTCCTACGTTCTAACGTTGCTGTCAATCTCTGCCGAATATCCTCTACACTTTGGTCAGGAGATATCAACAATGGTGGTGAAGAGCTAGGGTGAATTATACCAGCAGTAGGAGCAACTGGTGATGGTTTGGATTGAGAGAGTAATGGAGGAGATACAGCAGGAGGTGGACGAAGTTGCGGTGCAGAAGGTGGGCTGATAAATTTTAGGTCTGTTGGGGGTTTTGGCTTAGTATCTTCTATACTAAGAGAGTTCCCAAAACCAGGAGATTGTGGTGGTGTCTTGTGCCGGAGGTTATCTTCACCAGATACTGAACTGGTGAGAGGGGAGTCTAAGCCCAGAATACGTTGGAACAAGCCATAATTGTTCTTTAACCTCTTAAAAGAGGTGAAAGGCCTACCTGAATCAAGAGGCAGGTACTGGAACGGTCGAGATTCACTGGTACTCTTGTCTGATGGCCGCAGTAGCTGCACATAAACCTTAACTGGATTCTCTATCTACAAATGAAGGAATATATTCTAATTAATTCTGGAACTATTTATAAAAAGTGTTACTTTTGAGTAACAGACTGTATATAAATATCCAAAAGCATAAAATGAAGCTTTTCTCTTTTTTGCTTTTTAATTTTTTTCCCACAATAATGCAGGTTGATCAGAGTTACAGCCGGATAAAAACCCTTCATTCCTTTACTCTCATTCATTCATTCACCTTACTGCTCTGACACATCTACTCTGCTAAAAGGCTCCAAATATCTATGCTGGCTTAGACCTGACACTGTACATACTAGTCAAAAATTTTAAGCAGAATATCAATCCCACAAATCTGCTGGATGCCTTCTCTCTAGTAATACAAGGACTAGGCTGTTTCCTTTATGCACATCCTCACTTTTACTACATCCTGTATCTCCTTGCCTCTCCTCCCTTTGTACCATCTACCTCTGAAATGCAATACAGTTTACACTCTTTCCTTTTTATCAAACTTTCATTTTCCACTCTCTCAACATATCTCTTTCATCTTAGCAAATCTTGGTCAGCTCTTGGTTGGATACTTCATTCACTTGTACAATCCTTCCTTAATTCAGTATATTCTATACTGTGCATCCTATTCACCCCACCTGTTGCTATCAAGCATATGCTTTTTAACACTAGTAACTTGCTTCATATCCACACAACAATATCAGTTAAACAATTCCTTATTCACCTCCACATCAGCATCCACAATTCTCAAGGTTAAGAACCCTTTCTTTCCCTCACCAACTCTGTGAAAATCCTTCACTGTCCAATTTGCTGACACATTCAGTCCCAGACACCTAAAATGCTTCACTTCCTCCATATTGTCTCAATTTAAACTAATAAAAATTTCCACCTGTTCCCTTTCTCTTCACATTTTCAACACTTCTTTCATATTCACCATCAACTTCCTCCTGCTACAGTACAGCCGCTCAAAAAACTTCTTTCACTGGGGGGAGGGGGGTTCAGTGAATTTCAAAATGAACACTGCAAATCCTGTTGTCTCGGTAGGGTTGTCAAAATATTTCGTCAATGGTATCATATTATTGTCTAATACAATTGTGTAAAGATATTTTTTTGAGTGACTGTACATATACTTCTTAAGTCAGTCACTAATGCTTGCAATTTTTTCCTGAATTACCAACTGGAGTAGCGTCATGGCAAACAGTGGATGACGCACTTTCCAGACGCACCACTCTTCCTCACTGATCAAACTTGCATGCCTCTCAATCTCACTCTTTCACTTCTTTTAGTACCCAATCCATAATCCATATAAAAGCTAAACACCATGGAGATATTACATATCCTTACTAAAATCCTACATTCACAGGGAGATAATTTTCCTCTTCACAACACTCTTAAACTTCAGACACCATTCTGCCATTTTCCATCTATTCCTTACATTTTCAAAACTTGTCACAGCTTTTTCTCAACTTAATAATTTTTGTTTCCAGACTTATAATTGTTATAAACAAAGTCCTTCCTTTCTCCAGAAACATTTCACCCCGGCTCCTTAAAACAAATATTTTATCTACACATCCTCATCCTAGTCTGAATCAACACTACCCTTCCCCTAATACACGGCTTTTACAACAATTATCTATATAATTACTCTTCCCATACATTTTATGTAGTATAACTTTAAGACTTTATTCCTCTACAACTTCGCTGTTCATTCTCATAATCTTTACCTTTAAACAGAACCATATATGCTCTTTGCCACTATTCTGTTACCATTCCATCTGTAATGACCCCATGCATTCTTATCATCCATTCACTCACTTTTCACCTCAAATCTTAAAAATTTCATTAGTGATTCCATCCACTTTTAGAGCCTTACCATAATTAAGCTTACTTACAGACTCTCATCTCTCTTACTTACAGACTCTCAATCACCAAAATGTTTTTCTCCCCAACCCCTACTCAAATAGAATAGCTCCACCTCTCTCATCTGTTACATTTTGTAATACTGTAGTTAAAAAAATTCTCCCTGTCTCCTTTGTACTGCCTATATTTTTCCACAGTATTTCTCCTATTTCATTCCAACCCTATTCAATTCCATCTGGAACAGCTTCTTGTTCTCTTTAAAACATCTGTGTTGCTTCTCTTCCCATCTTTCATCTCCTCTTAAATTCTTTTACCATTTTTTTTCCTTCTAAACTCCCTACATTCCTCTCATACTTCTTAACTTCCTACTTTAACTGGGACTCACAAGCCCTTCTCTTCTTCTTTATTAGTTCCTGAAGCCTCCCTTTTTACCTTAAAAACACCTACAGTATGCACCTACAAAGCATCTTACTCCCATTTTTCATACTAATTGATCTCAAACTTCTTTGATGGTAAGCATACAACAAAAGCAACCAAGGTACTAACCTCAAGAGACTTATATCTAGGTGTCTTGAAGGAGATTGCCACTTGTTTGTGTACATCAGAAGCCTGGAAATCACCAAATGCCTCCCATTCTACCATTCCATCCTTGACCTCAAAGAAGCGAACATGGATGTCTTCTGCTAAGCCAAGGTTTTGTTACATATCAACCAATACCTTCCTTGTTCATCTGATAATATTTTCCACTAACATATTAAAATCTACAACTTTAAGTCAACTAAAGGGGAGCCCACTTAGCACAGCTAGTTCTAAATTAAGCTGATTCATTATACTGTAGTGTGGAAAAATAAAATAAAAATTTAATTACTGTATTAATCTATTACCATGCAGTATATAATAAAAAACATTGTTTTTACATACATAATATAAGCTGATATAAAAAGTATTGTACTATAATCATAAACATCACTATCTGCTCTCTTTACCTTCTTGTTCATAGAGGATACATTAGTTAATTACAGTACGTTTTACTGAGTGAGTCCACAAAGCACATGTGGTCCAACTACACTGATTGTTGAGCATGTAGTTTGTTTCCATATTCTCTGTACCACACACACACTGCATGGCATTCTTGATACCTTAGTAAATTTTTAAGTAGAATTTTTTTTTAATGCTCCAAAACACCAAGCAAATGTTAGTAATGAATGGTTATGGAATTTTGCCTTTAAGGAATTTTGAAATTACGACCAAAATTTCAGGCTACGGAAAAAAATCGCCCCATTGGAATTTTGGTAAATTTTTTAATAAAAAAATAGTGATTTTTAACCAAAATTTTTACCAAAATTGTAAAAAGTAATTTCGTGTGGATTCTCTGTGGTAGCAGTCCCACAAAAGCAACAACAGTTTTGGTTTATTTGAATCTCCAGCCAATGTTCAGCTGTGCTTCTCTTTTCTGGACAGTACTACAGGTATTGTACTGTTCATTTTTATTCAAGATAAATGGGAAGAGGCCATCAGGTGCAAGTGCTAGCAGTGGTGCTAAGAGACCACGAAAGGAAACATTGGGAACAAAATTAGATGTGTTAAGGAGGTTTGATCAGGGGGAGAAGCTGAGTTGCATTGCCAAATCATTGGGACTGGCTACCTTCACTGTCAGAACAATCTGTGATAACAAAGACAAAATTAGGACTAGTGCTAAAGTTGCTACTCCATTGTCAGCCTGTAAACTGTATTTTCATTGGAGTGATGTTATGATAAAAATGGAATGCTTACTCAGTGTGTAGAAAGAGGATCAGACCAAGCAAACTACCATATGCCCATTAACACAATGGTGATTCGGGAGAATGCTAAAAGTCTGTACCCAAATTTAAGCCAGGAACAAGGTGCTTGTTCTAATGAAAAACCCTTTAATGCCAGCAAAGGATGGTTTGAGCATTTTAAGAAACACTCAAACCTACACAAAATTATTATGGTAGGTAAAGCAGCCAGTGCTGATACTGAGGCTGCTAGTATTTTTTTTTTCTTTTACGGGGAATAGCCCACCCGGCCACAGGTCATCGACCCACAACAGGGCCCAAGGGGCAAAAAATAAGAGTAAAAAGAAATTAAAAATAGAAAAGAAAATTTTTTATTAATCTAAACCACGAAGAAGCCGGAAAACCAACTTTTTGAAGTAAGACAGATTGTATGAGCATGGAAACACAGAAGAAGGCAGAGCATTCCACAGTTTGGCTGAGTGAGAAAGGAAGGATGTACTAGAACGGGTTATTCTAGTGTGACCGACATCCACAGAGAAACAGTGGGCACCACGGGCAAGACGGGTGCTACGAGCCCACGGCCTTGCCAGCAATACACAGGATGCCAAATCCACCGAACATTGCCCATTAAAGTACCTGTAAAAGAGAGACAGTGAAGCAACATTGCAGCAAAGAGAAAGGGAAGAGAGATTATCATCTAAAGTAGGAGAGTTAATAAGACGAAATGCCTTTGATTCCACCCTATCTAACAGTTGGACAGAAGAAGAGCCACCCCAGATATGAGAGCAGTACTCCAAGTTAGGACGAATGAACACCTTATGAACTTGAAGCAACTGTACAGCATTCCCAGCTTTTGGGAAGCTGCTTTAGCAATGTTGTGGATGTCTGGCTTCCATGATATATTGGAGGAAATGGTGAGGCCTAGCATATCTATTTTAGAGCTTGGCAGAATGATTGCGTCCAGAAATGTGATTGGTAGGAGATCATCTATTACGGAAAGTGTAATTGGTAAATACTGAGTTTTATTACTATTGAATTTAATCAAAATTCTACCTCCCCATTTGGGGATCCTGCACAGATCCACATTGATAGATGAAATGATATCAGCTCTAGAAATAGATCTAGTTTGAGAATTAGGGAGAGGGGAAAATGTGAAAAAAAGTGAAGAGTAGAATCATCAGTTTAAGAATGGATAGAATTAGTTGTAGTGTGAAAGAACAGAACCCTGTGGGACACCACTATTGGTAGAGAAAGAGCGAGAGATCGATCCCTTGACAACAACTATAGTACCATGGATCAGTAGAGGAAGCTAGAAATTAGAGAACAAAGTTGGGGAGAGAAACCATAAGAGGGAAGTTTGAAAAGCAAGACTTGTGCTATACCCTGTTGAATGCTTTGGAGATGTCGAGGGCCACAATAAAAAGTTTCCCCATAATCCCTAAGAGAGGATGACCAAAGATGGGTGCAGTAGGAGAGCAGATCACCAGTAGATCTCACCTGCCGAAAGCCATAGTGGTGATCCGACTAAAGAGAAAGCCGTTCAAGATGCCAGAGAAAATGAAAGTTTGAGACAGTTCGAAAATCTTAGAGAGGGATGAAGTTAGGGCAATGGGCCAATATTAGAGGGATTAGAATGGTCACCCTTCTTCGGGATGGGCTGAACCGAGGCATGCTTCCAAGAAGAAGGAAAAGTTTGGGTTTTGAGGCAAAGGCGAAAGAGGCGAACAAGCAAAGGGGCTAAAATTTTTAAGCACCCCTTCAGAACATGAGGGGGTATTCCATCCGGTCCATGCGCCTTACTCACATCCATCCTGGTTAACACACCAGCAATCCTACGAGTGGAGATTATAGGAAAGTGCATAGGTTCAATAGGAGGAGCAGGAATAGGAGGGGTAGAGTTGGATTCGTCTAAGGTGGAGTTAGAGGAGAATAAAAGAGATTGGCTTTATCAGGGGGAGAGTTGGCTATAGAGTTATCAGGTCGGAAGAGAGGAGGAAAAGAGTGAGTGCAGAAGTTAGTACATATGTTTTTGGTGAAGGATCAGAAGGATTTACTAAAAGAATAGTTAGTCAGGTCAGCGGTCTTTCTTTTTATAAAATTCCGCTTGGCCCTACGAAAAATAAACTGACAACGATTCCGAGAAGGAATGAAAGAGGAGTGGATAATAGGAGGAGATAGTTTCATAACTCGATACACCCTATCTCTCACCCTACATGCAAGAGAACAGGAGTGATCAAACCATGGTTGTCAAGTGAAAGTTCTGGTAGAAGATGGGATAAATGCTGTCAGCACATACCGGGGCATCCCGAGTGGAAAAGCAACATTCATCCCAAGGAAAGTCGGAAAAGAATTATCGCATGGATTGCCAGTTTGCCCTCCAATAGTGCCATAGTTGGCATTTAGAAGGGGGTGGGGGAGGTGGTCGTGCCCAGTTTGATTTAATAGAAATAAGATTGTAATCAGAAAACCCTAAGGGGGCAGAAATTGAGTATGAATAGTGTGAGGGGTTAGAGGTAAAACAAAGATCAAGAATGTTAGCAAGTTGATCGTTTCGATCTGAAACACGTGGTCATCCCTTGCAGAGCCAATATTAAAGGCAATCAGTGATACTGATGGAATGGATACACACCACAACAAGTGTACAACTTTGATGAAACAGGCCTATTCTGGAAGCACATGCCTGCCAGGACACTTATTTCAACTGAGGAGAAAGCAGCTCTTGGGTTTAAGGTTTCCAAGGATCATGTAACGCACCTGTTAGGGGGTTAATGCTGCAGGAGATTTCAAGCTAAAGCCCATGCTTGTGTACCACTCAGAAAATCCCAGGGCATGCAAGAGCTATGCCAAATCTAGGTTACCAGTGATATGGTGCTCCAATAGGAAAGCATGGATGACTGGCAACCTGTTCCAAGATTGCTTTGTTTCTGTCCTGCAGTAGAAAGGTACAGTAACCCAAAAAAATATTGCTAACAATGCCCTGTTACCCCTAGATAATGCTCCCAGCCACCCTGTTAACAGTAATGACCTTCCCACTAATATCAGGGTTGAATACCTGCCCAAGAACACACCTTCCTTGCTACAGCCTATGGATCAAGGTGTGATTGCCAGCTTTAAGGCCTACTATTTACACAGGAATTTTAGACAACTTATAGGTGCAATTGATGGTGAGGATCAGCAACCAGTCAGAGATTTCTGAAAGAAGTTTAACATCATGAATGTTGTAGAAAACATTGCCGAGTATGGGATGAGTTCAAATGTACAGCAATGAATGGTGTGTGGAAGAACATCTGGCAAAAATGTGTCCACAATTTCCAAGGTTTTCCCCAGGTTCAGACCTTTGATCAAGTGCAACAGTTAATTGTAACTCTGGCAAATGGTGCAGGGTTTGAGGAAGTGGATCCGGATGGTGTGGTCGAGCTATTATAGTCACACAGAAAGGATCTGTTCAATGAGAATCTTATGTTAATGGAACAGGAGCAAGCTGTTGCTGAGGAACAGGAGGACACTTGTACAGAAGTTCCATATACACCCCATGAATTGACAACAAAGGTTTTGTCTAAAGTGCTTAGTCAACTGCAAGATGTGATGCAAACCGTTGAGACACACGATCCAAATCATGAACACAGCCTCAAGTTTGCAAGAGAAATAGAGAGCAACATGGAGGGGCTATAAGGAACTGTACACTGAAAATTGTGTCATCAATGACATACCACATTGGACAAATTCTTTGCCTCAAGACCACAGCCAAAGAAGAAGATGATGATGATGATGATCCACAGGGAGAGGCAGGAGTCAGCAGTGACCCACTGTCTCCCTCCCAGTAACTGCAATTACACCACTTCACCTAACTCAGCACTCAACATTGTTTCTGGCAAGTAAAAATCGAGCGCTTTGTTCATTTATTATCATGTTACATCATGAATGACTCATTGTATGTGGTTAAAAACCATCCAATTTCATAAATATACAGTATGTGCTTGTGTAAATGGGAACAATAATTTGCGTAACGGAATTTCGCGCTGCAGACAGATTTTCAGGAACGGAACCCTTCCGTAACTTGGGGGTGCCTGCACTAATATTATGTACGTATTTTACAGGCACATTTTATATAAATTTTGGGTTAGCAAAGGTAAAGTACAGAGGAATTATATAAAGGTGCCTGAGGTTGAGTGGCATATCTAGGAAATCAGCATAAAATCTTGCACAGCAGAGTACTGCACCTAAGGACAAATCTTTTGCACCAAGCGGAGTCCCCCTTAATTGAAATATCACTGACACCTTAATTTCAAGGGTAAGCATATAAATATTTTAACAAAAGCAGACATTCATTAATAACTTCACAAAAAAATTATCTAGTTCTATATAAATGAATATTGCATAAGGTCAGAGACACCATATAATCAAATTTCTGAAGAAAAAAAACTTTCTACATAAATCTAAACACAGGTTGGGTATCCCTTATCTGAAATTCCCAAATTTGAAATGCTCTGAAATCCAAAAGTTTTTCCAGCGATACCCCATGTTAGGGTAAATAGACCTTCTTTAGGGTGAAATTTAGGGTAAGCAAAAATTTTGCAATATTTAAGGTAATCAAGGATTTCTTGGGTCATTTTGCTCATTTTTAGGGTAATTACTTTGTAGTACTAAAGAAATGAATATTAAAATAGTCTGACAATCGACAGACTGGTCATTTCTTAATTTCTTAATTTCATTTCCATACAACCTAGGTAAGTCTCCCATTAATACAAAAAGTAAATGTTTTCTTTTATTGCGTTACTATGCAGTGTTCGTATTTTGAAGAAAATGTCCTTAGACTGGTATCTATGATACGTTTAAAGTATTGTACAATATTAAATATTTAATGTTTTATTATACTTGTATAGTAATATCTCCGTTAGCCGAAAACCCTCAAACCTGGAACTCTCCAATAGCCGGAACGGAAATTTTCTAGGAAACTCGTTCCCAAAGCCGGAATTTTCTGGAAAATTACAGCTTTGGGGGGCGATTTTCTGAAGGTCACATTTTGTGGAAAATTCTGGAAAAAATTTTCCAGTACCCAGAAAATTCCTGGGATGGGGGAGGATTTTTCTGGGTTTGAGAGATGAAAATCAGGCACATTTTCGGGAAATTCCGAGAAAATTTTTCTGGTACCTGAAAAATTCCGGGTATGGGGGATATTTTTCCAGATTTGAGAAATGATGTAATGCGGAATTTCTGGAACTTCCGAGAAAATTTTTTCCCTTATCCGGACAATTCCGGGATGTTGGATTTTTTCCAGCTTTGAGTCATCTCGTTACCCGGAAATCTCTAATTCCAAGAAGAGCTCTGCACCAATTGTTCCGGCTAATGGAAATATCACCGTATTCATATAGTATTGATAAAGTCATTATCCTCAAGAACCAGCGAGAAAGTATTTGAGCTCTCGTTACTTTACTTATTAATTTGGAGATTGTGGAAATATATGACATCTCCCAAGGAGCTGTTGAGGGAGGCCTTATATACAATTATTAATAGATTATTGGCAGACTGGAAAGAGCCTCTATCATATCCTTGGGAAATCCACAGAAATCGGAAAATCTGGTAAGTGGCGAGTTCATTCTTTGTGCTCTATATGCCTCATATCATCTACTTGTGTAATGTGAAGTTTCATAACAATAATTGCACTGACATAAGAATTATGATCTGCACAAAAAAGATATACCTACACATCCAAATATATAGATGACATAATATGTAGATTTTCCAGAAAGAAAATATATTATCAATGTGAAGCTCTGAAAGTGTACAACTCTCACACCATATCCTAGTACAGAACAGTGTGTCAGTTGGCTTACCTTTAGTGACCTTATCACAAAGCAGAATGATTTCCTTTCCTCCAGCCACGCTACTTGTACAGTCACTAAGTTTACAGATTATGAGATCAGATGTGGCCTCTGCACAGAAAAGAACATTAATAATGTTTTAGTGATACTTTTTACAGCAAGTTATTGTAAACACTTGAATAATAATTTGCTGTTACCATAAAAAACCTATCAGAAAAGTACAGCAGCTGTGTTCTTCACTGAAAGCTTAAATTTGTCTAAGAGAGAGGAAGAGAGATGGTAGAATACAGTACAGGTATCCCTCGATATATCTACGTTCGTGACACAAAAATTCGCTTATACGAATTTCCTATATTACCACCTCTTTTTTGTGCTATGTAAGCGAGGAAAAGCTTCCCCCGTTTATATAAATTTGGATCCCAACAACTATTCAAATCATGCGCCCCTGGGAGTCAGTGGGTGCTGCCCCGGCCACAGCCCCCTAGCACTCTCCCTACCAAGCTAAGGTAGGAGTTATGTAATGGTTGTTATTCAACTAGCAATTTTGGGTATATAAACAAAACTTTCTTCATTTTTTTTTCATTCTTACATAAGAATGGAGGAAACTGCAGCAGGCCTATTAGCCTATACTGGGCAGTCCCATTTACACCCAAACCCCTATTTCTCACATATCCATCCAACATACAGAATGTGCAAAAAATAAATAAATAATAAAATAAAAATTATTATCATAGTCAAAAACATAAAGCGACGGGGGGAACCAATAGTTTTGGATAGATAAACTTAACTTTCTTGATTTTTTATTTTTTTTTATTTTTTTTTACTCAATTATACATTCACACACAATCCTACATACTGTACATAATGTGCAAAAAAAAAAAGTATTAAGGTAAAAACACACAGGGAATAAACATTTTTTTGTGACTGATTGCGGGTGGGAGAGTGTTGCTAAGGGTCGGTAGAGGAGCCGGGTTGCGATGCGACACAAGGGTGGCCAAGTGTGAAGCAGCCAGTGTCTAAGCAAATAGCACCACTGGCAACTGTGTTAAGCTTCGATTTAGCTTTTCCTTAATAGGTTATTTTCATCTAGATACAGTAAGTCCTCGCTTAACGTCGTCCTGGTTAACGTTGTTTCAGTACTATGTCGCTGAACTTTAGAGACCAAAAATTCATTTAACGTCCCGGTGACCCAATACTACGTCGTTTTGCGTCACCATGTACTACTTTCTACGGCGCATCACCCGCTCTTGTCTGGCCTCGCTAAGCTCTCTCAGCTCGGCGAGCTGCCCTCACTCCTGGAACGTCACAGCGTCCCCAAGCGACGCCAAGCCAGTCTCTGTTACGACTTCATATCATTTGTGTGTGCTTAAGTGCTTTTGCTCTAAAGCTGTACTCTAACCATTCGAAATGGCTTCCAAGCTCCCATCAAATGCTACTGACGCTAGTGTAGTGAGGAGGCAGCGTAAGACCATTACCCTTGCTATGAAAATGGATGTACTAACCCGATTTAAAAAAGGGGAACTTGCTGTGGACATCGCCGCTGTGCTTGGTATAACTTCCACAATGGTGCATACTATCCGGACCAATGCTCATAAGATTAAGGTTAGCGCTGGAAGTGGTTCTTCTCCGAGTGCTACAAAGACGACTCGTACTAGAAGCACTGTGATAGAAAAAGTGGAAAAGATGCTGGCAATGTGGATGGAGGACCAGAATCAACGCAATGCCCCTATGAGCCTTATGGTTATCCAGCATAAGGCCAGATCCTTGTTTGACGACATGAAGGAAACAGAGGGTGAAGGAGCGAAGGAAGTGACCTTTACGACCAGCCGAGGCTGGTTTCAACGATTTAAGCATCGGTATAACTTCCACAACATAAAGATGACTGGTGAAGCTGCCAGTTCAGATACGGTTGCTGCCGAGACATTCCCACCAACAATGGAGGAGGAGCAAGCAGCGGCAGAGGAACCCCAGTCAGAACAGGAGGAGGAGGAGGCAGCCGCAGAGTCTCAGTGACTCACCACCCTCCTCTTTTCCTGCCCTCCTCCGCTTCCACCCTCCTCCTCCACTCTCGCCATCCTCCTCCTTCGCTCCACTACCCACCACACACTCGCTCTACCACCTCCACCCATCGATGAGTACCAATACAAACTTAGTACTGTAGTTCTATATACCATTTTCTACAGAAATAGCAATGATTTTCTGTACATGCATCTTTTTTCAACAGGCAAAGGGAGGCTCAGGAACGTAACTCCCGTATTTTATCTACTTTTATGGGGAAAATTGACCCGCTTACGTTGTTTCATACAACGTCGCGTTTTCAGGAACGTAACCCCGACGTTAAGCGAGGACGCCCTGTAGTATTTTTTAATGTTTTTAATGTGTTAGGTAGTAAATTACAATACAGTAGAACCTCAATAAATCAGACTAATTGGGACAAACCCCAGTCCAAAAACTGCTAAAGTCCGAGAAAAGCGAATATATGGGGGGGGGGGAAAGTTGGTGATAACACTGCTTATCTGAAGTGTTCAAAGAAAATCAGTTATGTTATTACTGCACTTCAACAACTAAGGTCTTTAAGTGTATACTAACAAGGTTATTAAAAGAATTACATCAACAATAAAAAAAAATATGAAACAATTCTCTGGGTTGAAAATCAGACATGTAAGTCTGGTTGTCACCGAGATGAGTGGTATTTATTGTAAAGTGTCATATGTGAGTAACCACAGAATTTGTCTTACAAATAAAGAGAAAACTGTATACTGTACAGTACTATAAAGATAAAAATAAAAACAATTAAGTGTAATATTGTATGTGGAAAGCAAGTGTTTATCTGGGAGCAGCTGGCATTGGGGTAGCATGGGTGGGTGGCTCTCTCCCCATCTCTCCCACAAGATTCCTTTAACACTTCTTTATGCAATTCCACCACAATTACCATATAATTTTGGATCATTTGGTGCCAGGTTGATAAAATATTATCCTAAAAGAATCAGCTTTCCTGAAAAAGGAATCCCACACTGAACACCATAAGTCATTGTTTACAAAGAGCAAACAACTGATCGGCTTACCACAATGTCTGTCTTAAACACTTAGTAAATTAGTACAGTACAGTTGTGTATTTATCACCACTTAATAAATACTATTGCAGTGTATGAATCATCACTTAATAAGTAATACTGAAGTGTAAAGTATTAATTATGCATCTGCATATAAGTATCATGGTTTATTCATTAATCATTTGTCAAAGAGTCCAAGTAGCCAAACTGAGTCATCGTATAACACTTAAAGGTAGTAAATAAAATTTTCAAGAAGGTACCTTCATATTGAATACAGTACTATACAGTGTATAGTCTACTGAAAGCTCACACGAACACATCTGGGTAAACAACCTTGTGATACAGCCTATCCTTTTATTTTTGAGTTATATTACAAATTACATACAGTATTGTATTTTTCTCCATTACTGAAGATGCATCTTGATGAAAACCATAAGAGGCCAATCATATGAGAATATGTCTTAGTTCTCAGTAGGCCTTTAACAAATCTGATTAGACCACTGTACAGTATTCAGTAAGTGTGGTTCATTTCATCAGATTTTTTATTTAATCTCCGACCCCCCTTTTTTTTCTCTAGTATTTCCGGTGATCAGAGCACCTCAGAGTCCGAAAAAATTGAATTCTGATATGTTAAAGTCCAATTTATATAAGTTTTATTAGTTGTATACTATTTATCATAACTTATGAAGGTTTTATTGTTATTTGTGAATCAGTGTTTTTGGGGTATGATATTGGGGTACAGCAGGGTCGGGATATATCGCGACTTTATATAACGGTTTTTTTATATCGGGGCTACCAAAATTATTGACATTTTCCTATATATAGCGATAATTTTTTTTATTTCACGAGGGAAATCGGGCAGGAAATATTTAAAATGTACCGCCATGACAAACAAATGCGTCATTTGCTCGTGATATATCCCGACCCCACTGTATTTTTAACACTGGGGAATCAAACCCTATTTTTCCTATTTGTTCTGTTACAGCAAAATGTCAATTTGAAGCAATTCAATTTAAGATTATTGATTTACAGCGACACCCACAATTAAGGACAATGTTATAATCTAAAGCGAATCTTTCCTATTTTGAGCGAGTCAATCTGGAGCATCATATTTAAAATTTTGCACCTAATGTTTCTCTGGACACCTACACTGTCCTAAGGGCAAAGCTGTACTGTACATGTACTCAAAATAATGTACTAAATGATTACTAAAATTTTTGTTTAATGCAAACTATAGCTTGATTATATTCAAATTAATCACGAGCTTATAAGAATTCCAGCAATGTAAATTATATTCTCCCTGGTCACTTCTGTGACATTTAAAAAAAAAAAAAAACTCAATCTAAAGGACATAAATAAACAAATAAATACTTCACTAAACCTTTATAGCCAACTGTCAAACATGTCACTGTCACCCCCCATCTTCCCAGCCAGGGTTTGGTGTTTTAGGCTTAAAGTTTTTATCTTATATAATATCAAAGACTAAAGTTAGGAGAATATAATTTGTATTGCTAAAATCCTTGCAAGACAGTGAATAATTTGAATATAAATGTCATATTTTGCACAAGAGATAAAAATTTTTGCTCTTTGTAATAAAATTCTTAAATTAGAAATAAAATTTGTATGTCTAATGTAAGCTATAGCATGTTCATATTCAAATTAATCACTATCTTATAAGAATTCCAACAATGTTAATTATATTCTCCCATGTCAGTTTAGTGACATTTTACAAGAAAAAAACTTAAAGTCACTCTTAAGGACAGATAAATAAATAAGCACTAGACCTTGGCATCCACTGTCAAACATATCCACCCCCAATCCTCCCAGCCAGTAAACAGACCATTTTGCATCCCTTAATTTTAGCTGTGTTGATTTATGAGTGTTTGTTTTAACATAATACTACAAAAAAACCATGTTTTTTTTAATTCTAGGAGATGGGCTGAGGTGCATCTGGGTAGACTCTAAGTCTTTTTAGTATTTTGTGTTTCTCGTAAGTACCAAACTAAATTATTCCATTGAAACAACACTTCGATTTAGTGCGAATTCGGTTTAAAGCAACCTCTTTTGGATTGTATCT